ATAATACATAAAGACAATGTAGACTAATCAATTACGACGATATTAAATGGGCAAAAAAGTCATGATAACCAAGAATCCTGTTCTATAATGTATCTCAATTAAACTTAAAAATATATAAATTATGAAAAAAAAATCAAAATAATGAGTTGTTAATTGGTTTGAAATAAATGTCCAATATTTGACATTTTGTAATAGCCCTCTCTTCTGTTTTTTTTTAAATATACAGTTTAATTTAGTAACACCATATGGAATATTCACTAAACTTCTACCACAACAGTTATCGTAATGACAACTTAAGAACTTTGTTGAAACAATGGAATAATTATACAGAGGTTTAGTTATCCATATATATCTTTTTGTGCTTTCCTTATTAATTGGATTTATTAACAGGCATCTCCTGTAGATAACATAAACACACCCACCCACCCCACCTACACTTGTTGGGTAATATCTTTTAATGGGCTTTTTAAAATTCCAATTGAATCCAAATCATTGATAAATTGGTTTTGCTTTTTTTAAAATTAAATGTTGAATAATCTATTTGGGTACATTTTAGTGTGTATTAATTAAGCCGTAAAAATGAGATTTTGTCCAAAAAATGCAAATGACTATGAGCGTGTTTAGAGAGTAAAACTATATTTTGAATGGCTATATGCTATGACGACTTAAATACAACATCGTAACCAACATTTCAACAGGTTAAAAGTCAAAATTAAAAGACATTATTTCATATACTTATTGATTCATTTTCTCAATCATTTTCTCTTTCAAATTCCCAAACAATCAATTTCTTCATCGAATACATTATCTTATATTCTAATTGATGTATATTTCTTTTAATCATAATACATGTATACTATTCATATATGCTTAAAATTTAAATGTAATTTTCTTCGTCAAATTCCCAAACTAACATTGTCTTCATCAAAGATAATATCTAATATTGATATTTTTAGACATATACTATTCATTATTATAGGCTTAAAATTTTAATATTATATTCTCCATCATATTCTCAAATAATCATTTTCTCTCCATCATATTCTCAAATAATCATTTTCTCTCCATCAAATTCTCAAACAACCAATTCCTGCATCAAAGCCATTAATGGTTTTACATTATCTTACATTCTAATTCATTGAGTTGTTTTTGTATCCATAGACTATTCATAAAGGCCGAAGATTTTAATATATAATTTTTCTCCATCATATCTCAAATTTAGTATACCGTTAAGTTTTATATATTCGAATACATCACAAATTTATTTTCAAAGTAAAGCTTCTGAGACACTGTCACTGTATATAACAATCTCTAATTTATGTAAGGCAACATTTCTTGAGAAACTGGTCTTTTTTTCCTTGTAATATTCATGGTCTGTGGCTATATTTTGGTTGAAAATAATTAGCGTTAGCAGGTGATTTTAGCTTTTTCAATTTTCTGCTTGTTTCCTCGCTCGAGGCTCGGACATGTTGACTGACAGGACTAGTAAATTAAAAACGTATCAACATGGGCTAGAAAAAACAAACTAAACTTATACCCCGTAAACTTGCTCATGTAGTTTATATTGCTCTTTTCCTTTTAAAAAAAGAGTTGAGGATAATTTCACCCTTCTGGTTTCAACCCGGTGTCGAGTTAAAGGGGCAATAATCCAGATAATATATTTCAAATTACTAAAATCCAAGAGGCATTACAAAGATCATTTGATTGGAAACTCTGTATTTCTCTTTTCAAAATGTCTCTTTAGCATCTAAAGAAGGTAATGAATATATTGCGCTTTGCCCGTTAAAAAAGAGTTTAGAATAATTTCACCCTTTAAGTTTAAACCTGGTGTCGAGTTAAAGGGACAATAAACCGAATAATATATTGGAAGTCTCTAAAGTTATAGGAAACCTCTTCATTTCTCTCTGCGAAATGCCCCTTTAAAATCTAAAGGAGGTAATTAATATAATGAAGTTTATTGGTTTTAAAGATTGTTATTATGCCGTAAGGAGAATAACACGGTAATCTTATAATGCGCTTAATACCTTTAACTTCAATTAAAGGGGAATTGCGCTAATGAAAATATTGACGGTTTATATTAAAAATCAATGTTGTTACTTTACTAAAATGTTAAATTCTAAAATCACTGAGTTATTGAAATCTATTGGAAATTGCGTGTATATCTATAGTAGATAAAGTACAAGTACTTATATCATTACGGTAGATAATTACATAAATAAAATAAACATACTTCCAGTTTTAAAACGATCAAAAACCACATCAAATCAGCAATTAGCTGCCTGTTCTTAATAAGCATCTTGCGATGTTACAGTACATATAATATATACTCCGTAGGGAAATGCATATATATTTGAATTGCGTTTTTCTCTATAACCCACATTATTGATACTTTCCTGTATCATAATTTCAATCACATCCGATAATGAGTACTACCAAGTTTCACATTTATTTTAGCCATCGACGAACAGATTACATGACAAACTTAATGCATTATGTCTTCCAAAATAATCTACTTTGAGAAATTATACAAAATTTTCAGCTTCGTAAACTCCGTAAATGAGAAGTGTTATTATAATTATACAAAAATAAAATACAAAAATACCTAGCAATAATTTATTCGTGGTCCAGAAATATGAATAAGTCATGAATATGTATCTTTTTATTCAAATCAGTTTGGATTTAATAAGAATTAAAGGTTATAATTATTCGAACATGCAAATGAACTATTTATTGTTTTATAACGTTAAACGAGGACGATGTTAATTGATTGGGGTGAGACTGCCAAATGATTTTGGAGGGAAATTTTGGTAAGAAATACTTTGTTTAAAATCAACTTAAGAACAGGCAGAATTAAGCTCTAGCTTTATGGGTATTTGAAAGGGGTTTCAAAAGATATACTTTCAACAAAATAAGTAAATCTCATTACATATAGTGTTGAAATAAGAAACTTAAAAACGTATTTCCGTTCTGTCAGCTTTTCACCACAAGAAACCTTATACCTTCTCAACTTGTTTTTTCTAGCAGGATGATTCAGTTCGGGTATGACAAAATTAACGCCTTAACACAAAACTTTAATCCGATATATTGTATACAGACTAATTCCTGCCGTTCTTTAGCTTAAAGATCGTAACTCTACCCCTACGAAGGTTGTCCACCCTTTTTTAAGAATACTTTTTCCTGGCTAATTGGCTCTTGTTTGAAACAAAATACCCCTTCAACATCTGTCAGAAAATATTATACGTTCATAATTTATGGGCTAACTTCGTGTTGTTTTCCCCGCGCCTCACAGATTGTTCACACTGTCCCAGCGTTTATATTATGATATAAACCAATGAACCCCTTTTGTCATTACAATTATTTAGTATAAAAATATAAAATTAATTATTTTCTTTGATATAATGGATGGAATTGGCTTTGAGGTAAGGTGATAATTGGTCCATAATAATTTTATGATGGTAAGTTAAAAAAAAGTAGACAAAAGAGACATATGAGATTACCGGTTTTGAATATTAAGCATATGTGTTGATTGTTGATTGTGGTACAACAACTGTCATTATTTGTGACAATCTTTATAATGAATCTAAGGTAATTTGATTGATCCTTTTTGGCAGTGTTTATAAGGTAATAATCATTTAGTTAATGTGCGATATCTAAATAATATCCTGATTGTCAAATACTTTCAAATTAATAAAAAAAAAAAAAAACCCACAAACATATCGGTGTTAAATTAATAAACAGAATTTCAGAGCTGAAATTTTAAGCATCGGTTTAACCCCTTTCCCAATATTTCGGTAGTCAAATTTAAACATTACTTAATAAAACAACAGATTGATTTTAAGACGATTAAAGAGGGATTACTTTTTTAAAGAAACAACATTACTTATGTTAAAAATATTAAGCATTGCTTTAACGACAAAATGTCTCGTGTTCAGTTATTAAGCATTACTTAAAACAACAATTCCTTTTGTTAAAATAGGCAGCATTACATAAAACAACCATTTCTGTTGTTAAAATATTAAGAATTGCTTAAAATAAACATTTCTTGTGTTAAATATGAAGCACTACTTTATAGTACAAAAAATCCAACATGGCTGTGTTGCCATAATAAACATCGATTCAACAGTTATATTAACAGGGTGATATACACAATCTTTACCGCGTCTAGAAATTTACAGTGTTTATGAATAATATCAATAACTAGGAATTAGTTACTACTTGAACCTTAAGGATTTGTCGACCACCGTCAGTTTTATGTTTGAAGGAGAAGCCCAACGAAACGCTGTGTTTTTGTTAGAATCAAGTTACACTCCATAATTTCCTATTCATAACTTATGACCATGCTGTCGACCATCTTTACCTTTGTATGTGTGAATATTATGATAGCCAACAATAGACTCATACACAACACAACAGGAGCCAACTTAACATAGTTTGTCAACATTTCAAGCAATTAACTTCAATAGGGGTTTCGCGTGGAACATTTAACACCCGAATTCTCCCGAATAAAAACCTCGCCTCCATATTTGATTCATTCTAAAAGCAGACGACACCTAATTGCAGAAGTCAATTTAGACAACGACGAAGCGTTTAAACTAACGGAAAACATAACAATCAACAATACGCTGACTTAATAGCGCAAGTTATTGCGATATTGTATCCGTTAATACATAAAATAATGTACGATGCGGTGAAGTTAATTTGCACCGGAGGATTACCATATGTATCTAATCGCATTTTAATTATTTGATAACTGAGCGCTAATTTATTTTTTCCTGAACAGATTTTCAACACTATTTATTTAATAAATCATTTACAGGTTGGGAATTGGAAATTGAATTTGTTGTCAAGTATAAAAAAAACCTTAAAATTATTACGTTTTTCGCTGGATAGAAAATGAGAAGAAATGAACAGTTTATCTTGTCAACATTAATTTTGGCAATTTCAAGGTTATCGGTTTTTATTAAAAGATAAAAAAGTTTAATAGAAATGCAACGACTTACCTTGTTTGAAACCGTTTCTTTTTATGGTCATCCATCGGAATGGTTTTGAAGAATAACTCGAAGAGGAAGTTTGATCCGGTTTAATAGGTGATCCCCCGGGTGACTGATGGGGGTAACCATTACCTCCAAGCACAGGCCCTCTCATGTGCTCCGGGGAAGAACTATAGGGTGATCGTACCCCAGCGTCCATACACGAACCGTTGGTCGATCCCCCATTCGGTATATAACAGTCATTTGCTTGGGGTATTGCAAGATCACAGAGACCGTACGCTCCAGCATGGCGAGAGTTTCTGGCTATAACACTGGATGACACCGGGTATGGTTGATTTGTGTTACCTAAAAGTAAATCCCCACCCCCTAGTCCGTGGGGTAACACGGCTTCTGCACCATAATAATTCTGTCCCGTGTCCAGGGATCTGTTGGAAATGTTCGCGTATCCATAACTGGAGGGTTGTATATCTGAGTTATTATAACTCCCTCCGTATGAGTGAGAGTCTAAGTTGCAAAGCGTGTAATCATTATCCGAATTCATAATTTGCTCGTTTCGCCGAGCGACTGTCAATGAAGGTGCACAAATTAGCTGTCGATGTCTAGATAAATCTGAAATAAATGAAGGTAAATTACGACTAGTAAATGACAGGATTACAGACGCTAGAGATACCACGTGATTAGCGATAGCCAATGATCGACTAGTGGCTCTCGGAGGGCTGTTCGTTACGGGATGATAGATGAGATGACTAAAGACGGGATTCACAAATTCACTAGAGTTTTAAGAGAAAGAAATAAGCGGATATTCTCACTGCTTTACCGACAATTGTGTAAATTTTCTTCGATCGTGGTGTTCGGAACAACCAGTTGAAAAAAATAAGCATCAGAATGCGTAACCAAGGTGACACACGTGTGCATTGTTAGAAAAATATCCCATAAAAGTCACTGTCGTAGCTATTAAAATATTCAGGGTTTTTTGATAAAAAAAAAAAAATATATATATATATATATACATAGAACAGACAGTCGGGGTCTCTATGAAATACGTGTATATAAATTTTCCAAAATTATGTGTCAACGCAGACGAAAACTTCTCTAAAATAACAATGAAGTTACTCACCTTAAAGATTGCCTTACGTTTATATGGCTGACACTTATATGCCAAATGTAATATGAGCGGTGAACAGTTTAAATATAATACACCTTATCGTCGACTCTCTCTATATTTAAACCACTTGTTTCTCTTAGATATTGTCAACTTTCTTTCTCGCATTCTTTAAACAAATTATTGAATAAACGAGCATGCAGTCGGTGTTAAGATCCACTTGTATGTGTTTTTGGCATAGGCAGCCTAAAGGAATACTCCCTAGGGCAATGGGCTAAGTATAACATTACGTCACGTGGTATTGAAAATAAAATATTGTAATTAAGAGAAGGGCTATTAATGTCTTCGGATTACAAAGTTACTTTTATGATGTATTGTTTTAAACAACCAGGCTGAGGATGTCTCCCCCACCATATAAATTTTTTATGACTTTGTTAAATATTTGTGACTCACACCCTATAGTCGATATAAGTAAAAGCGCCGAAAACATAAAAGTGATTAAATAAGGAGGAAATAAGACTTGCTGTCACTTCAAAGAAAAAAAACACGTTGATTTATGAATGGTAGAAAAATCGACAATAGTTACTTATATACTCATGCCGATATACAAAATGAAATGAGGGTTTAACGCCCTATTGTTCTGCCTCGATTGGGCTAATGAAGACGGGCATACGCCGTACAGTGTGCTATGAGGGAATATTTTCCCGGACAGCGGCAATACAACCTACTCTTATATCAAATTCAAACAGTCATGGGTTCTTTTATGTGCAAACCAATGTGTACGCAGGACCGCGGTTTTTCGTCCCTTCCGATCAACTTTACGGTGTGCCTTGCCAGGCCCTCTGTTCCTGATGAACACGTTTTATTCACCGAGCCTCTGTGCCACCCATGACGATATATAGAGAATATATGAAAGCCACGGTGGCCCAGTAGGCATGATGCTGAAACCACTAACCAAGAAGTTCTGGGATCGATCCCGGTTCTGGCTGTCATATTTCCTCAGGGCGGAAAAGGGCATCTGGAGGTTTGGATAGAACCGAGAATTTAAGTTCACACGTCCACTCATTGGCGTGACGTAAAAAAATAACCCTGCACAAGTATGCCCCTCATTGTCTCGGTTGGTGAATAAAGGAGGACGATAACCCGATTTCATTTCACTTTGTAGAATATATATTTTCCTACGTTACTTATGTTATGTTTATAATTAGTATATTATCATATAGATAAATTGTCTATAATCCACCCCCATACATCATAACAGTCAATATATGGGTTAAATAATAATATATCTGCTCCTAATGTCCCTCAAATACACGAGTGATATGTTTATTATATTGTAATTGATGCCCGTTAATCCCATTTATTGAATATCTATATAAAAGGTTAATACCATTGTTAATACTATTGTTTTCACATCAAGAAAACGTGACAATAGGATAACATATATTGCTTTGAATAAGACTACTTCTAATTGGAGATCATGTCAAAAGGTATTAATGCACTAAACGTGAATACGCATAAAAATACTTTATTTTTTATCTTTCTCGCACACCCGCCTTGGGCTTAAAAGTTGAATTGTTTTAAGATATCATCAAGAAAATTTGCTATGTAATCCCTGAAATTAGTTTATATAATTTAAGTAAGTCCTTTTCAAAAGCAAAAGAATTTGTTGAAAAACGTTCCCCACCTCATGCACGGCCCCCGTGGCTACGTATAAAGCTAACTTTGAACGATCGTGTGTACTTTGATTTTAAAGCTACAATGGCCACCAGTTGAAATGCTAAAGTATACCTGTGGAAATCACAGATAAAGGGTAAGCATAACCTACATTGTGTACGACACTGTAATGTATCGATTAAACTATTAATTTTGCAAAACAATACTGTGAAACATTTTGACAATCCAAAATCTAAATCGTCCCCGTAATTTGAGATGTGCATATAATGTTATTTTCTACTTTTTATATTATTTAAGTGTGGATAATTGGATCAATGACAAGTGTCGTACACGATACAAGAAATAATTACTTCGTCTGTAACCTATTTCACTTTTGTTGTCTCAGTTTTCACCTACATGAGAGAAAGAGAGAGAGAGAGAGGGGGGAGTCTTGAGATTGCCCAGAGTATTGGGCCTGTCATCTTCAGTAAAGGTTTTCGAGCCGTTAAGTGTTATATATCTACTAATACAATACGGATTTACTACATACCATTATATCTATTCTCTTAATTTAAATTTCCGAGGTCCCTTCTTGGGGTCCCCTCTAGAGACATTGGAAAGATAAACACTTTCATATTCTATTCGAAGAATGAAGTTAATTAACGTCTCTAAACAATTCTGCTTTAATATTGTATTACGGTTAAATTATGGAAGAAAATTGTTTACGGTAATTATATAGTTTAAGAAACTTTATGTTATTCTCAATAAAATAAAATAAAATCGGATTACACATATTTTGATATAATCAATTTGTCTTTTAACTTTGATGACCTAGGTAATAAACTACAAATTATTGTAACAAATTGCATCAAGTTCGATAACTCTTTTCTTCACGACTTAGTAACTACTAGCATATCAGTATATATTTTGAAATGAGAATGCGATGCTTTTATTCACGCTGTGTATTTTGTCTTTCGAGAAGGGTTAAAACTTTTAGTATGAAAAACATATATTTTATCAAAATATGTTGACATTATTTCGGTATTCAATGACATTCCTTACCTTTTCGCCTGCTATGGATGAGTTATTTCCCTTCTCACATCCACAAATAACAGGACTGACCATGTTATGGAAGGTTTACAGAAACACACATTAACCACTGATCTTCTAAATATGATACAGTCCGTTGAAAGAAAATGTTTTTGAGTGCCCCCTCGACACAAACTAGGTCATTTTGGGACTAATACAGTGGAAAGAAACCAAAGATTCCTGCCAAAACCCGCGTGGTCGCGTACAAGCTAGGAATCAAAATCACGCCACTTGACTTAATCACAGATCATATAATCTTATGCCATTCGAACACCCAACACCCCATTTTGTTTTTACCTACTTAGAACAAACGATTTTTTTCAAAATATTTATTGATGTGCAATGGTGACAGTGCTTTGGCCGACCAGCAGTAAACAATGGTGACAGTGCTTTGGCCGACCGGTAGTAAAAGATCGCCTTCATTAAACGTTATTTCTTAACTTTGAAAATACATGTATAAACATTCTGCGGATCAGGGGTAAATTAATTCAAGTCCTCGTTAATGAAGTTAAGGCAGGAACAATTCTAGATATCCGCCCGTATATCACAAGGTGCTCATTAAATTACCATCCTAGCAAGATGAATTTATACGAAACTGCGGCGTCAATTAAATGTTTAAATATCGAACGCCATTTTATCACTTTTTATGGGAATAATGTTTTATTTTTGGTCTTTTAAATTAACATGTTAATGAAATTAATGAACCTTTATGGTTTCAGTAATAATTTGCTCTGTTGCAATCCGTCGCCTTAAGGAAATGGACCAAGACTAAATGCCAACTAATCGATAGCTAGTAATAATATTTGCCCTGCGTATCACCATATAGAGAGGATAATTGGCATATAGCTTTCTGATTACTATATGGCGTATAATAACTGTAGGATTTAACAATAAGAAGACCACTTTAGCTGTCACTTCTCCTCACCGCAACCAGGCCGATCATTGAGAAAATGAGAAAAATCATTGCATGTAAAGGCGAAACATTATCAGCTCCGTGGAGTCATGTATTGTCATGTATATTGGTATGAATGGTGAAGATATTGAAATCAAGAATTTAAACAATCGTGAAATTGTTGTAATTATGGAATATCAAATTAGGAATAATGAAAATCGATGCAGTTAATATTGAATCTATTAAAACCAGATCTAAATGGCATGTGTAAGGAATAGAGCGCTGTGACTTGGGACTATGTAAAAGTGTATGGAGTGTGCAATAACGGTTTCATCTATCATTTTGGCATGATTAGTGTAACTCTTATAAAACTTTGAATATAGCAGGGTATAAAGGGAATAAAACCATAACATGTCGTTTCGTTTTCTTTACAGTTTGCAGTGGCTCAATACGTAGAGCACTAACTCGCTAACCGCGGGTAATATACCGGGTTCGATCCCGGTGGTGCTGCATTCCTTCTCCCTTAGCTTTGAATTCTTAAATTCTTAACTTTTCACAGTTCACAAGCCTATCTTTTCGGTTTATTTTCTATATTCGCGTAGGATCAAAGCAGGACCTTGGGGGGAGGGGGGTGGACTTTTCACGAATTGGCATTTTTTTCATAAATAGAACAACAAAAAGTTTAAAGAGGCATTGGCGCCTTGGGAGATTTTATTTGGTAATTACACCAAGCGTGTTCCATTTTAATCAAAATCTAAGACAAATATGGTTTTAAGGTGCCAGTGCTTGGATGATGCCTGCCACTGTCCTTTTTTATGTTTTCCCTGATATAACTGTCCCTGGACCATCACACAGTCT